GTAACGAAATTTATTAAGCCACCTATGTAGCCTTAAAAAAGATACCCTTCAAAACTTCTACAAGTTTTCGATTGTAATTCACGGGAACATACATAAGCTGTTGATCGTCTCTGTTGATGATTAACAAAGCAACCTTTGCCCAGGGTTTAACTGCATTCGTGTCAAATTAATTTTTTTAACATCACAGAATTCCAAAATTTTTATTTCATTGTTTCTTGTCTTACTTTCTTTGGAACACTGCACTCACGAAACCCTTGAGGTTCTGAGTAACACCAACTCAGGCTTATGATTTCAAACATCTGGCATATGACTTCACTTTTCATCCCAAAAGTGAAAGAGCCTAACTTCCATCCGAAGGGGTTCTGACGGTTACAATTCCATTGGGTCAATAAACACAGGCTGTTTGAGGAGACGTTCTGCATTACTTTCGGTTTTCAAGGCGATGTGAGAGTTACTTTTGACACATGCTTATCATGATGCGCTTTTCTCGGTGACACGTCAGCAAGCATTAAATGCATATCCCGCTTTGATTTCAAATTTAAGAGTTACATATAAAAGGGGATTCAAGGGTTCATTATCAGTTTACGCTTTCATCTTACTAAAGTTTCTTTGATAATCATCTGCTTTCAAACCCTAAAAATGGTGACTGCAATTCCTGATGCTCCTCTTTCTCACACAACTGATGATGTTACTTCTCTGCCGATCATGAAGATTCAGGGTACTAATTACCAGCTTGAATCAAATGTTTCTTTGTATCCTGAAGAATTGAAAATGTTGGTGGCTGCTCTGCAAAACTCGGTATTATCGAAAGCCATGTTCAACTCATTTTATGTTCCTCTTTGTTGGTTATCTCAAGCCGGTTCAACTGCAACTTATTCAAAAGCTTTGGAAGTTGTTACATTCAACCTCATCAATGATAAAAAGCTTAGGTTATCAAAGAAGCTTTTCTGCCAAATCCTTGCCATACCTAATTCACCAACATATGTTACTTTTACCTTTCCACAAATCGTACACATGTTCAATGAAATGGGTCATCAACCACAATTGACAAAGATTAGTGATTTCAAGAAGTGTGGGCTACCAAGTGTATGGAATTTTCTGTTTGGGATTTTTCTTCGGTGTTTAACTGGCAGAACGGTTGGACTAGATAAGGGAAGAATGGAGGTGTACGACATGGTTGCAGGTTTATACTATGATCTTCAAGTCGATTACCCTACACAACTATGGAAGGAGTTCCAGAAGAGTATCGAAAACACGAATGCTATTCATGGAATTTCGTGTGCTCGATATTGGAGTTTAATTCTGCAATATTTCTATGAAAAGGAAGGAATTTTAGTTCCTGCAAAAGAAGAAAAAGTTGTGTTTCACACTTATGGGTGTCTGAAGGATGCTACAGATGACTTGGATGTATTCCCTTTTGCTGCTGGTATCCCTGATGCTATGCTAAAAAGAGTTGATTCTAAAAATCCTGTATTGATTACTTATTTGAAATCAATAGATCCTTCTATGGAAACAAGTGTTCTTTTGACATAAACCAATGAGAAGAAGCCAAAGAAGTCGAAGAAAACTGATGTTGGGTCTTCGGGTACCAAGGTTAAGCAAACCGGTTCTTCTAAAAATCCAAAGCAGGTTCCTGTTATCGAAGCTGAGTCAATCCAACCGGAACCTATTATTGATGATACCCAGTTAACTGAAAAGGAAGTCATTCCTTTGAAGACTGTTGTATTTAGAAGAATCAAAATGAAATCAAAGTCGAAGCGTAAGGGACGATCCTCTCTTACGAATATTGTTCGCAAACCTTAAGTTTCACATCAAGGGGTAATTTTTCGTGAAGTACATGCTCCTGCTTCACCATCTTCGAAAAAGCGAATAGCTGCTGACATGGCAAAACAAATCGCAAAGAAGAAGAAACGTAGGGTGATTCTTTCCTCAGACTCTACTGCAGATGAGAGTGAAATTATTCCTGAGACACCTGAGGCAGCTTTGATTAAAGATTCTTCTAAACTAGATACTTCTGTTAGTACACCACCCGAAGCTTCGATTGCTAAAACAGTTACTGTGGAGGCACGAGCTTCAGAGATCCCTGTAAACATATCTGATATGGATACAAATGTCATCATGGGTGAGGACAATTCGAATAAAGCAGCAAAAGGTAACCCTTCGAGTATTGTTTCTGATTCTTTCATTTCTTTACCTTCACATATTACTCCCATTGCTCCTATAACATCCACAACTGAGTCTCCAACCTCTGCAAACATTATTTCACAACCTTTCACAACTCTTTTTCCTTCACAATCAACTGATCCACCAACCACCACTTCTCCGATAAAAGATTCATTCATGGATACGGAAAATGAGTCTGAAGGTTTTGGGGGAACCTTTGAGAATCTGGAGTTTGATGATGATGAAGCAGACTTCCTAGATCATATGCTAATGATGATGAAACAGTTCAAAATATTGAATACAAAGCTCAATTCGATTATTCAATCTCAAGCTGATCTTGGGGGAGGTCATTCTGTATCATGTTTTGAAGTTGATAGCATGTTGTCATTACTTGAAGGAAGATTAACCACAAAAGTCTCTAGAATGTTGAAAGATACAGAATCTCGTTTGTTGGAGAAGATTGATCATTCCGATCAAAATAATGAATTAAGAGTGAATTCTTAGAAGACTGGATTTCCATTTGACTTGAAAGCATTGAAGATGGTTGCAAAAGAGAGGCATGTGTTATTTGTTCAAGATGTAAAGAATGTGAGAGAAGATGTAAACTTCAAACTTCAGGAACTACGCGAATACATGGAGAAAGAAATATCGGTTGTTTGAACTGAGTTTGATTCCATCAATAAAAGGTTGATATTATTTGTGAGGTAGTTACGGAATTTGCAAAGTTATATGAAATTCTGAGCCCTCAGATTACTCAGATTTCAAATAACGATCACAAGAATTTTTTTGAGGTGTTCGAACTCTTGATGGAGCTTAAAAGTTTATCTTCCAAGCCTACTTCGTCTTTGATATCTTCGGAAGATCTGATCCAAAATTTTTCTAAATTTGAAGAATTACTTGTCCAAAACCTAGCCCCTTTGTCATGCATCTCTAGTCTTTTTCCAACTACTTATGCCCCACCTGCTAGCACAGGGGTGCAAGGGGGAGAAAAAATATATGTAGGTTCGAAGACTAAAGGAGAGGATTCGAAAGTAGTGGGGAAGGTATTTTCTTTGAAAATCCCAACAATAAAACCGATAATGGCAACAACTGGTCAAATCACTTCGATAGTTGTAACAACTGTGCCAATCACGAAACCGAAAGGAATTGTGATCAGTAAAACTGGAGACATTGGTGGAAGTGCTTCAAAGCCTAGAGATAATGTTGTTGAGTCTGGTTCAAAGTCAAAAGGTAAAGAGATTCTGATAGAAAAATCCAAAGAGGAAAAGAAAGCAGAGGCAGAGGCTGAGGTTGAGAAAATGAGAATGATACAAAGTATAATGACTCAAAGGGCCAGTGACCCTCGGGGCTTGAATAAGGGTGATCCTTCGAAGCATTACAATTACAAAACGATTGAAGCCAAAGTTGCATTCAATCACATGTATGCATTTGAGAAAAAGCCCAAATAGAGTTACCTTTTCACAAATACAGATGCATGCCAGCTGGATTTTCCTATAAATGAGATGATGTTTATCATGACTCAATTTAAAGCTAAAAGCAAATTTAAGGAAAAGGATGAAGGAACACACATAAAGATCAGATTTCATGCTGTTCTTGCAAAATTTGTTGAGGAGGTGTGTTCTTTGACGAAGATCAAGAAAGTTGTAAGTATAAAGAAGGATGTAGTCTTCGAAGACACAGTCCAAAATTTGAAGTACGTGGTGGTAAGGGCGAGTGGAAAAGTGTGTGAATTTACAGTTGCTGACTTTCCATTGATGAACTTGTATGATCTTAAACAAGTTGCATTAATTCTGAAGGAAAGGTTGTTTTCTTATCTACAAAACACTGAGCCGGAAGAGTTTAAGCTGGGAGTTACTCACTTCAAAATATTCTTTGAAATTTATTACGAATGTCTAGCAATGACAGATTTGGAGTTAGCTACAGCGAAGGGTCTTGAAATCACTGCTCCAATGAATCCTTCGAAGACACAAGGAGAACTTAATAAATATGCTGATGGGGAAATCTGCTTGAAACCTTTTGGTTTAGTATTTTCTTGGAAGGACAAGTCTGGAAGATCTAAGAACTTTTTGTATCAAGCAAGTGAAGTTGAAAGGTATTCAACTTCGCAATATATGAACTTAATTGTTTGTATAAATCATTGCAAGAAAAACAATGAGGGAGACAAGAAGGAGCTGAAAAAGATCATCAACTGGTATACAAAAATACGAAGAGTTATGTTGTATTCAATTCAACTTTTTACAAATTGAAGTCTTCAAGTCTGTTTACAAAAGGGAGATTGTAAGGGTATTTTGTGCTGTAATGAGTCGAAGTCTTTTGTACTCTTCGTATGATTTATAATGTATTTTACTAAGACAGTTTTATTCAAAGCTTAAAGTGTTTAGTCCTTAGTATATTTTTTGTATACTTTCCTCTCCTATAAATAGGAGTGTTTACTAGAGTCATAGCAACGAGTCTTTTACAAAATAGTCATTTTGTTCTCTGTAAAACTTGAAAGCGTAATAAAGCTGAAGTGAAAAAACTTATTTACATCTGTGTTCTAATCTCGCAATCGTACTTTGATCATTTAAACTCTGATTCGTTTTGTACTTGATTCATTGCTTCATCAACTGGTCGTCCCACTATTTCTAGTGAACCTGAAGCCCAGGACCCCGGCCACATCGTGAGAATCGAAGAGGTGGATATTGCAATTTCGTCCCTTGCCGAGACGGATTTTGCGGGCCACTTCCGTCTGGGGGAGCTGGATTATGACAACTTCCACCAATTTTGTCGTAGGCTGGGTCCAGGAAGCTCTTCCTCGGACTTTGTGGACTGATTTTTGGTTATCGCTTCTATTCATTAAGTAATGTATTTGCATTCCCTGTATTTTATGTGTAGTGAAATGATGGTTGTTAATGACCAAGAACTGTGTATTTTGCTTTGTGCTTTGTATAGAAATGCTATATTTTAAATTAACTTGTGATATCTTTAGGCTAGGGTTATTTGACATTACTATTGTGATTCTTTTCTACACACACCCTTGTTCTAGGGTTCCTGTTGATCGGATAGTGTGCGTTTCAGAAGTCGTATAACCTGCCATTATTGATTTATATTTCATTGACTTGTATATTTAATCGATCTTTTTATGTTAAGTCGCAAAATGTTGGTCAATGTTCTTGACCATACTTTGAGGTCTTAACTGATGGGTTATAAGCATATCTACAATCCTATGTGATCATCCAACCCTAATTGCTTTGGATCTAAGTTTTTCACTAACTGAACATGCAAATTTAACAGCAAAGTAGTAACCCTAGAAACTAGCATACAATTTCGAAAATCATGTATAAATTAGGGTTAGAAGATTACCTCAGTTGTTATGTAGTAATAACAAGAACAACCTTGAAGATCCTTGACTCTTGAAAGCTTAGTGCCCCAAATTTTGCACCTCTAATGGTTCACAAACACCCAATGCAAGAGGATGACATAAGAGAGGAGAAGAGCACTTAGAAAACCAACTAGGGTTCTTACAAGGGTTAAGCTGGCCGAAAATCTAAGTCTAACTCACCTTATATACTTGTGGTTGCTACGCTTTTCAAGTGTAAACCCTAATTTTCTGCTTAGGGCTAAAGCAACCCATGGACTCCTCCTTTATAAGGGCCTCCCTATAGTTTTGATGTGTGTAAAATGCACTAGTTCTAATCTTATTACTTCAAACACCAATTAAACACACGAAAGGCAGTAAACCTATCGATTAATAGTATAGTTCAAGCAAGTAGGGTATCGAACACAGGGAACGGTAACAATCAAATTAAATACTAGTATTATCTAATTAAAAACAGTTAATAAAAGAGGGGGGGTTTTCTCTAGTGTTGCAAGACTAGAAACTTAAACACTCAATTAACTTTCAAACAAAGACAACTAACAACTAAGAAGAACAAGAAAGGACAACTAGATTCAATGATAAAAGAGACTTCTGTTTAGATTCAATTCACGTATTCCTATGGTTGATTTCGTGGCAAGTGCAGTGAATTAATATGTCAATGGTTAACGATTCCTAATGTGATTGGGTTCATGTTCATTATTACCAATCCTTTAGTAGACAAGTTAATTCAAATAGTGATCAAGTGATTAAATTAAAAAGTTTCCTAGTGTTCAGTTCGTATCAAGCAAGACTTATAACAATAGTTAATCAAATTTGTTCAATTCAATCACCTCATGTATGGTTGTTCATCACACATGCTCACACATTGATTTACACATTTTCTAGTTAACTCTAGTTTCATATTCACTATTTCTAAGCATACAAGCTTATTTTCATAAAACTATATGAATCAAGTAATCAAGAAGATATTCATGCAGCTCAATCACTTATTTGTTAACTGAAAAACATTTATCATCAATACATAAGGATCTTTAATAAGCTTAACAAGATGAATAACCAAATTAATATCAATTCAACCACTCAATCAAACCATGTTCATAAGATTATCTCATCCAAACAGAAGTAAAAAAGCTTTTAGCTCATATATATAGCAAATAATAACCTAATTTCAAAACCTAATGATTCAAACATGGTTCAAAACAAAGATTAATAAAAGAAGAATGATTGTTTGCCTTTGATTCTCTTTGAAATTGTTTCTTGTGTTGAAATCTCAAAAACAACAGCTCCAAGAACCCTTCTAATCTTCTAAAGTCGCAGCTAGCCTCCAACAAAAGTTAGGGTTTTGGGCCTAGAAGTTATCTATTTATATTTACCAAAAACCGATCCAACTCGTCACATTTTTTAGAATAACTCGACGTGTTTCTTCAATAATTCCTATATACAGCGTGTACAGCAAGGCATCCTTAAATCAAGAATATTCTTACTAACTCGTCGAGTTTGTACTATTAACTTGTCGAGTTCCTTTTTTTTCCAACTTCTTTTTTTAATCTTCAATCTCCAAGCTTCCAATTACTCAATACTCTTCCTTTTTCACCCAAGCATGTCTTTTATTGCTGAAATTGAAATATTAAGCTAATTAAGTACCTTTTGTCCATAAAATGATATAAAATCAACAATAATTAATAAGATAATGCATGATTTCTTTGACTAAATAAGCCCATATCAATATACCCTACACTTGACTTTTGCTTGCCCCCAAGCAAAACTGAATTTTAGCACGCTAATATCAAATAATGACAATCCCAGTTGAACCCAACCATTATACCAAGAACGCAACGCATGCATTTGTGTCTAAAATTTTTCCTAAGGACCCCCCTCAATTCTAAAGACTTACAATCCTCATAAACACTTGTCCACTTCTTTTGAACAATGCTCATTTTATGCATCCCTCCGAATCCAACCCCAGAAAACTTTCTTAACCTCAAGTCATTTTTGGTTAAATCCCCAAGCATACATACGATAAAATAACCTAGAAAAGAAAATGACAAATAAAAGACAAATACAACTTTTGATTAAATCTTTTATACTTTGTAGCTTTTCTTCATGATATTCTTCTTTGTCTTCATGTTTGTAGATTCTTTACTCGAACATTTCATCACTCTTTTTTTTTTTTAGCTTTTTTTTTTCTTTTTTTCTTTCTTTCTTTTTTTTTTATTTCTTTTTTTCAACACACTTTTTCCACTCAAAACTAAAAACCTAGAAAAACTTATGCTTAAGCAGGGGAATTTAACTTCATCCTTTATTGGTTATAGGCATTAGTCTAGTGTGCAATGACTACTTAAGCTTTCCTGGATACATTTATGGTACACGATGCTAAACATGTTGCGACCCTCAAAGTAAGCGAGGTTGTGTTTTTGTCCATGATTTCACTAGAATAAAGGAGGCCACAAATGCATTATAATATGTATAGGCTCAACTAAACATTTGGGTTCTCAAGGAATCATCAAACACAATACTAGCACTGAATCCTAATTGCTTTTACCAACTTTTTTGAATTAATCCTAGCAATTTTTATGCAAATTTTTAAAAAAATTAAACCTAGGATTCTAAATTAACTAATATAACCAACCCCCTACCCCACACTTAATTTATGCAATGTCCCCATTGCATGTTAAAACAATTAAAGAACATAAAAGTAAAGAGAGAATTGGAACAAACTCCCATGGGATAGTAGTGGCGAGGTTGATATTCTTCTTGTTAAGCTCCATCTTCAGCTGACTTTAGACATGGGAACAGCTCATCCACGCCATGGGTGTCAAAATCTCGTGTTGTACAACTCCAAAATATCGAGGAAAAAGGTATTGGAAATTCTTGGAAAATAAACGTTGGTAGGACAGCCAATTGCCTTCGTAGAATGTAATGAAATCACCAACTCAAAGGTAAGAGAAAGAGCAACTCGCCGAGTACAAAGTGAACTCGTCGAGTTAGGTCACTAAAACTAGCACAGTCGGGTTTTTTCTAAGGAACTCGTCGAGTTTATTTAGGGAACTCGTCGATTTTTGCTTACTGAGAGAACAAAATATACCCTAATTTCATTTTTCGTTTCTAGATTTGAAGGAAATGAATATGGCAATATTTCCCTTCATTCTTCTTCAGTGAAAGCACATCTTTTCAGTACTTTGTCCACCGATCTTGCGAATAGACTTAATTCTCTCACTCTTCTCGTTTTAGACTCGATCTCAAGTTATACCCCTCACGCTATATTCTTTCATTCTATCTCTCAACTTATATTCTGAAAATGAAAAAAGAAATAAATACAAAGTAATAAAAGGAAAACACACTAATAAAATCCTAAATTACTAGAAGTTTAAACATCAAAAATAAAAACACACCAAACAAACACAAATAAAAATAATTCAAACAAGGCAAACAAAATAACAGATAAGGAAAGGATAATTAATCTTCATCTTCACTTTCTTCTCCTATAAACTCACTTCCTCCGACTCCACTTTTGCGCATACTCCACCTCTTGCTCCAATTCCTCACATATGGATAATCCGATTCATCTTCCATCCTTGGAATGATCATATGAGTCATCATATGAGCCGAATTCCTATGTCCATAATTCAAGATTCTTGCTAACTCATCTTGAAACACCCTAAGCTCAGCATTATAAGGATCCATGGGAAGCTCATCATTTATTGGAATGACGGGAGGATCTTCTTGCGTATGTGCTTGCCATGAATGAATCCGCCTCCCCGGTTGTTCCGGTAATACTGCATCATCCACTCCTGGAATACTATCATTGCCCCCACTGTAATCTACAATAATTTTAGCCCTCCTATAAAGAAGATGACTAAACGTGGGTTGTGGCACCATTGTTAATTGATTTCCAACCCTCCCTTCAAGGATTCCATAAGACCTTGCCAACTTAGTTATAAACATTCCACCACATATTCTTGAAGTTGTTCTTTCCTTTACCCCACTTTCTGCCAAGTATTTTGCTAAGCAATATGGGATATTACAAAATGTGTTAGGTGTAAAAATACACCATAGAAAGAAAACATCTCAGCTTGGCACTTTATCATCATCTCTTCTCATATTGATGGAGCTTGCGATGAGGCGGTGAATAATACGATGAATAGGTGATCGGATACTTGCTTCTTGAGTTGTGGATGGGATATAAACTCCATTGGCAATTGTGTTCCACCACCTCACTGCATCCTCATCATTTGGAAAATCCTTGTGACAATTTTCCAAAAAATCCCTAAAGCTTTCGTCATTGCTACATTTCGTTCATACAAACCCATTCGCCATGCTAGCTCCCCCATACTACATTCCCTAAACTCACCCCAAGCATAAAAGTAAGAACATTTGTATCAAAATAGTCTTCACCCCCACGGAACTTGATAGTAGAATAAAAATCCCAACATAATTCTTGGTATACCGACTCT